GTATGAAGACATCAGATTCAAGAAGTTCTGCTATGAGCACGGGATCAAAATGGAGAGAATCATGCCCGGCACGCCTCAGCACAATAGTGTAGCTGAACGGATGAACAGGACGTTAACAGAGAGAGCCAAAAACATCTGTATACAGTCAGGCCTACCGAATCAGTTCTGAGTAGAAGCAATCAACACAGTACCTTACTTGATCAACCGAGGTCCATCAGTTCCATTGGAGCACAGAATACCAGAAGAGATATGGTGCGGAAAGGAGGTAAGCCTCTCACATCTCAAAGTTTTCGGTTGTGTAGCTTATGTGCATATTAGTGATCAAGGAAGGAATAAGCTTGATCTAAAGTCCAAGAAATGCATATTCATCGGGTATGGTGAAGATGAGTTCGGCTACCGCATTTGGGACAACGAAAACAAGAATATGATCAGGAGCTGAGATGTGATATTTAATGAGAAGGTGATGTACAAGGATATGCACAAGACAGATGAATCAGAGAGCGAGTCAACATTTATAGATGCAGATAATGTCTCGAGTAACCTCTCGGAAGAACCCAATGCAGAAGGTCCTATGCCAGAAGAGCCTGTTGGACAGAACGGTGTGCAGGAGCCTGACGTGCCAACTCCGATATTGAGAAGAACTTCTCATCCTCCTATGCCTAATAGCTGATACATGAATTTTATGTTGCTGATAGATGAAGGGGAGCCTGAAAGCTATGATGAAGCTTGTTAAAGTGGAGATGCGAGCAAGTGGGAGCTTGCCATGAAAGAAGAGATGAAATCTCTGATCTCTAATCATACATGGGAACTAGCTGAGTTGCCCATGGGGAAGAAGGCATATCATAACAAGTGGGTGTATCGAGTGAAAAAGAAACACGATGGTTCCAGAAGATACAGAGCCCGACAAGTGTCAAAGGATTTCAATAGAAGATCCAAGGAAGTAATAATCCAGCGGATATGTTGACAAATGCAGTGATATTTTAGAAACTAAAGTTGTGCATAATTTCAATTGGCCTTCATGCATAGGTGATGAAGGCGGAGCCACACAGGAGGAGGTGATTGTTGAGATAGCCCGTCGATGGTGGTTTTGTCTCCAAGTGGGAAATTGTTAGTGTCGGGTGTAGACACAAACCGTCAGGCGGGCCTCTGGCGAGCTCAGGCGAGGTCGAAGGCAAGGTCAGGCGAGCTCGAGTAGGCTTTAGGCGAGGTCCAGGTTGACCTGCAGGCAAGGTCGGTGCTTCAAGCGAGCTCGAGCTCCTTCAGGCAAGGTCGAACCCCCCTTGTAGGCGAGCTCGAGGGCTTCAAGCGAGGTCGGTGCTGACAGACGGGGTCGAGAGTGGGCGAGCTCGATCTAGGCAATCTCAATCGAGGATCATTTTTTTTTTTTTTTTTTTTTTAGCCTATATCTCCAATTTTTGAGGAACTGATATTATAAAAAGAAGTTTTCTAATATTAAAGGGAAACCCAGAGCACCTCTCTCCGATGCTTCTTCTCTCTCTCTCCTTCTCACGATTTCAACCCTTAGCAGTGGCAGCATTCTTCTCTCTCTGTTCTTTTCTTTCTTTCTCCAGCGCTCACTCAGAGATTTGAGGAGGGGGGATATAAAAGGGGAAATTTAAGAAGTGGGAAATTAAGAAGAGAGATCTTCACTGTAGCTACAGTGTTAGATTTTGCATTTATTGAGAGATCTCAAGTTTGAGATCTGCTCTTGCATTATAATTTCTTTGATTAATAAGAAATTAATTATGTGACTCTCAAGGACGTAGGCAAGTTTGCCAAACCTTGTAAATCTTGGTGTACTTTTTTTATACTGCGTTTTTGCTGTTTTAGGGATTTAGCGTAGCCCCGGGTATTTCCCCAACATCACGCACTTCTTGACCACCAAAGGAAAAATGATAAAGAAAAAAGCAATAAGAAAAATAGAAAAGAAAAACTCTACACCAGTCAGATCTTAACGCCATCGTTCGCCATCGTTCATTCTTTATACGACACAACTGCTTAACTCCTTTATTAAATTTCAGATGTTTTGGAAGGGACAAAATCTCCTGCCAAAGGTTCCATATAGATATTCACTAATTTGTCACTGATAGGCTAATCAAGTCTATTATTATACATTAGAGGAAAAAAAGGGGGGGGGGGTAACGCTAGATCATTAATTCAAAAGGAAAAATAAAATAAAATAAAACATTTGTGCACATACATATCGTGTTTTTCTTTTATACTTTGTGGAGTTAACGTTTTACAACTTACTCGAGGTAATCGTAGTTTGCAGCCTGCACAAAAGAAGGAGTTTGCGATAAGTCTCCTAAACGTGAAGACTTTGAATCAAAACGGTCTCCAAATATTGTTTATCGTCAAGTGATCTCAATATGCCTTGGCCATAGTTTCAGTTTAGCAAATATAACCTCTGAGACTAATTCAAAACTTACCAACAACAAATAGTGGAGTCCAAAAGCCGTTAGGTGTTGCTAATGCGCTTATTTATCCATTCTGCAACACCTTATCGCCTTTTGAGCTGGGTTGTTAAGGAGGCTAACTTGCATCGTCAAATGTTACCTTTACGGTGGCGTGACTAGCTATTATTGTTCAAAGGATGTCTCAGAAGGCAATATGATGAACCATCTATGGATTAGAAAATGAAAGAGCACATGAGTGAGGGTGAGGGGGGGGGGGGGGGGGCGTGGGGTATGTGGCCTTGCTATGGTGGGTTCAATAATCTGATTATACCTCAAAAAAACTGTATTGTAAGCATTAACCCTGGTGAATTATTGCGATCCCATGCTGCAGTCTAATTTGGAGTCAAACAGTAGGTGGAGACGCATCTAGATGTAAAATAGGATTTTTTTTTCCCATTATGTTTGAAAACTCTTGGATCAGGATCAAGGGTTATGTCAAGAAGTGAAATTTCCACTTTTTTACCTGAATAACACGTTGGGCCAAAAATTAATATTTTGCATAAATCAGGTTGTCTGCGTCTAAGGGGCTGTTTGGTTCCATGTTTTTGAGGGAAAGACTCTCTTGAAAGCCTGCTAAGAGTGTCAAAAGTGTCACTTTTTGGCAGGCTATCAGCCAAAATCTTCTTTTTTAGAGGCGATTTTGGCTGAAAGCCTGCCAAAAAGTGACACTTTTAGCAAGCTTTCAAGAGAGTCTTTCCCTCAAAAATAGGGAACCAAACAGCCCCTAATGCCTCTGAAGCGGATACTTCCCCCAAATAACCATGTACATGTTTCTCAATATTGGTCAACACCTGAATATCTTAAATGCTTCGATTGCTAAACATTTATTAATTCTCAAATAATTTGTATTGGATTTAAGCATGGATGAGGTACGTTGAACTATTTCCATTTCAGCCAATATAGTTTAATAAAAAAATTTATATATAATCATGACCTAGAATTCACCGAAGCTCCAAACTGAACCGAAACCTAGCCGTAAGTTTTAGTATTTTAGTTTCCAATAGGAATAAGCTAATAACATACTTTGCAAAAAGGCAGCCCTTTTGTAGTAGAGGGAATTAGGCGTGAAATGTTTTGTTTTACAGTTGTTCTGTGGGAAAAATAGAAAGCAAGGGAAATCTTAGAAGGAGCGCTATTGGCAAATTTAAAATACTTGTCTATGCTGTAACTTTGACTTGTGGTTGTGGGTGACTTTGAGAGTCATATTAAAGAAAAAATTATGAAAAATTAGTGCTCATTGCAAGACCTTTAGTATGGAGGTGTCATCTTTTATTGACACATAGTCCCTCAGCTAGTATAGTTATTAAGACGCGACTGATTAGGTCTCTAATTATAATCATAATTAAATATTAAAAAAAAAGACAAAACCCCTTACTACACTCCACCAAATTTGTTGTAGCTGGTCTGAACAAGCCTCTATTAAATTCACCTCCGACGACCGAATCTGCTTCAAGGTCAAGTCCTCATTTGATTATTTTGTCCTACACAGACTAATTGGATCCAAATATTATACTTTTACTAGCCATGGTCCTATTCTGGTCTCAAATAAATCTTCTTAATCATCAATAGAATAGTTTCCTTGATGTGGACTGATGACCTTTTTAATTAAACATAATGGAGCATTCTTAATCATCAATAGAATAGTTTCCTTGATGTGGACTGATGACCTTTTTAATTAAACATAATGGAGCATTAATTTTTGCAGTTTCTCATTAGAACTTGATGTGGACTGATGACCTTTTTAATTAAACATAATGGAGCATTAATTTTTGCAGTTTCTCATTAGAAAAAGAAATCATCAATGGATAGAAAGCGCGTTAGATACAGATTTAAACCTGGCACCAACCTGAAGTCTGTTATCAAATTCGGTTAAAATATAGGCAAATATGTAGTTCTCTTTCCAAACTGAAAGCAGTACATGAACTAGCTTTATACGTGGACACCATACAATCAGTCATTATCAAGAAAACTAATAAGGGAATTGGTATGCATTTCAAAAATAAAATAAAATAAATAAATAAATAAAAATATGTATAAAAAAGAAATAAAATACCTACCTAACTATATATTATGCAACAGCAGTCTAATGCAGTATATATACACACGCACTCGCCTCTGCTTACAGACCACAATATCACACCTAGCATTTCAGTCCATCATCTATAGCTAGGCCAGCCCAAAGGATTCTAATGGCTTATTGTATCAGAACTTGCGGATGCAAGAGGGTACCCCTCTCTCTCGTGCGGGTGGCTATTCTCATACTATACATCGGAGCCAACGCTCCATCATGTTTCCCTCTGCAGGGTGGCGGAAGAATAAGATGCATCGACAGAGAGCGAAGAGCTCTCCTCGACATTGGAAAAGACATGTACGATCCTGGCGACTGGCTGTCTTCTTGGAGGAAAGGTGGAGACGACTGCTGCAGTTGGCTAGGAGTCGAGTGTGACAACGTCACCGGGCATGTCGTCGAGCTCAGCCTCCAGTATCCTTCCCAGGATGACGGTCCTG